TAGTGTGTGGGGCTAATACCTGCTTACTTAGGGTAAATATTAGGTGGCCTCCTCACTTCTACATAACATAACCTACTGAACCGATGCTGTTCTCGTTCTGTATTATGTAAATCATTTCGAAATAAAGATCACTTATTGTTCATTGCTGTCTCTGTTTGCCAGGGTTCAACACTTTCTGGCCACTCTTTCTTGTTGTTGCATTTTTAATGTTGGGTAGCATAAACAGCTTTCCATCGATTGCCAAGAAATCTCCAGTAGCTTCTATTTCTCGAATAGCTGGAGGGTACTACAGTTTCATATAAGGCCAGATAAAGTTAGTTACATAGGATTTAGGAAAAGTTATAGTTACACAGGAGTCGGATTAAAACGTCACCAAAGAATCATCAAGTTTGCCGACATTTCGCGATTTTTCAACAAATTTGGCCATAAAAATCTGACACCAAAATCATTGCCAACTTGCCGCTATCTCGCCAAACGGGCAAGACAGCTCTTTGCTTCAATGTTAAATGGACTTGTGTAATTTTGTTTTTTCAGTGAGGATTCGCCCTTTTGAGGTCTTTCATGTTACATTATGCAAGAGATGTTACAATTTACAAATAATTTCACTAAATGTATTTACATATACATAAAATTCGTAACACTATTCTTATTTTAAGAATTTTCCTTTGAAATTTGGCAAAACAATTTACCAACCTTATATTAGCGCATAGCGGTCAGACATAGGTCCCGCTTCTTCAGGAGTAAACTTTTTTGCTACCAAACACCCTCAAAGTCGATAGAGTTTCATTTAAAATTTGTGTTAATATCAAGCTGATATTTTTCTTATTTAACATTGGCGTATTTCTCTTCTAATTAAACTCTTTCCTTTATTTTTGTGTTTAAAAGTTTCATTCCATAACTCTCCAGTTTTATTCAGGATTCTCAAAAATAATTCTCTATTTCTCCATATTCAGATAACAACATCCTACTGAATCGAAATAATTATTTTCGTTACTTAAGCTATTATTTAACCACAAAAATGTATGTTTTAGATATTCTTACTCCGCAAGAGTCAGAATCCTGCAGGGAAAATTAAGACGTTCTTCAAAAAAACAATTTCGATCATATCTAAACCTGTATAAAAACTTCTCCATTAAACAGAATCTGGCTTTGATACGTAATTCTATCAAGACACTTAATGCGTTTAATAATCTAAAAAACACTGCAAAGCAGTCCTGATTATTTATGTTTAAGGAGCACTTTTATAATCTTGAATATTTTTCGAATTTCTATGCATTATTTAATGCTAAAAAATACGAATATGATATACTTGTGGCCCTTTTAATGAACATTTGATTCAACTTATCCAGCTACTATCAGTAATCAATATTTCTAGCACTTTGTAGCACTACCTGTACCTTTTGTAGCTTTATTTTTCTAGCATCACCTGTTGGATCTTTTTTATTATTATTTTCACGGACAGTAAGTGACTAGATAAAGCTCCAGCGCATTGCAAAGAAGCATATGGATAATGTATAAAACAAAGGATATTTCGATGTTAATGTATAACTTCCATGCGAATGTGGTTCCGTTGATCCACATGGTCTGTACCAATGCCTCTCAAATGGGTTTGCGAACAATATGAGCAGATGTTACCATTTGAGAGAGGACGTGTAATTGGACTAAAGGAAGAAGGGTAGTCAAATCGCAGGATGCTAAGCCGAATTGCTAGACATCTGGGTCAGAACGATGCTACTGTTTGACGAAGTTGGCAGGAATGTTAACTATGGCCGTACAAAGCATCAAGAAGATAGAGATCAACCGAGATTGATGACAGAATGACCGTTCAATCAGCAATCACAGCCCCTGACGCGTCTTTATCAACGATTCGACGAGTAACCGGGACAACAGTGACTGCAATGACCACTGACAGGAGACTCAAGCGAACGGAGACTACTGCTGCTCATTGTTGCACACTGCCAGGCATGTTTGCAGATGTGCCGGGCATATTCCATCTCGGATCACACGGCTGGAATGAAACTTTTCAGTGATGAATCTCGCTTCGAACTTGATGATCAGTGAAGATATATCTAGAGATGTCCAGGAAAATAGTAGAATACTCACTTGACAGTAGTCCCCTACACGGTGGGACAGCTAAGAGTGTTATGGTATCGAATGCCATTTCTTTTGTTAGCCGAAACCCTTTGGTTGTCATCCGCGACACCCTCACAGCAAGGCGATATTTCGACGAGATTCTACGTCCTGTAGTGTAGCCCTTCTTTTCACGGAAAATGCTATACGGCCGCACATGGCACACCTTTTTAACTGCTTGTCTTCGTGCTTCTGCAACATTTCCTTAGACGACCCGATCGCCAGATGTACATCTCTCTCCCATACAGCACCTTTGGGTTCTCATGAGCAGACATTTCCGACAGTCCGACTCGACCATATTACACGACCACAAGTAATTCTTTCTTATGAGTATACAAGAGCCTATGAGTATGGAGCTATAATGCATATGTATAAATTATGCATCCATGATCTTAAATCTGTTACTTAAAAATTATGCACCCACGATCTTAAATCTGTTACTGTAAGGTTTGATTAGTAGTGCTGCACCTATGCGTGCTTGAAAAAGATGTGTTTGAAATGCTTGAAGCAATCCAAAATCCTCCCAAGACACATTGGGCTGTTATACGATTTCTGATATAGAGTGACGTCTGACAAGCACCATTTATTATTAATGCCAAAACAGACTTTGACGAGTCACTTCAAAATGAATTCTGACTATAAAATGTGCTACATCATATATACATTTAAAATGCTTTACACAGCTAAGTTATTTGCCTACAATTTTTAAGTACAACTTTGAATTTCATTTGTATATCAACAGATTAATGCAAGAGATGAATGCCGAATGTAAATTAACATCAAAACATCATCATATACAGACTAATTTCTTCTATTTAATGGGAGCATTACAAATCAACAGAATGTGTCAAAGTTAAATGAAGAATGATTGAAAATATAACATAAAAACATTTTACTTGTTGGGTTTATAAAATTCATATGTAAGGTATGCAGGTAACATGTATGTTTAGCGCTGTTTCATATGGTCTGCAGAAAAATGCAATAAATTTCTGGACTCTAAATGAACAAATGGGAATTAAATTCACCACTCACTTGAACATAAGAAAAATCACTTCAGTGGCATCAAAAACATTCTCCAAAAAAAACTGATAAATATTACGAAACTTGCTACAGCTTTGATAAGCCAACCAAAATAAAAGGAAAGTTGGCAGGTGGCATCTGCCTTCTCCATGACAATAAACACACCCAAGTAGCATATCACTACTTTTCATCTAGAAAAATTCAAAGGGAAGATTCTAGATCACCCATTACCCACTCAGGAATGGACACAAAATGGAATAAGAAATGAGTAGCGAACAGCAAGTGGGGGATTTTTATAAGTGTGAAATTTAAATCCTATGGCCATGTGCAATTCATTTATCTCAATAAACTCCCAAGGCTGTCTCTAGAAAGGGGAGGGTGTGGGACATACGCCTGTTTACCTATGTTAAACACCAGGCATCCCCGTCCTCCGTCACCTGTCAAAAAATAATGTTGCCAAATATAGTTCATTTTTAGTTGAATTTTAGTCTGATAAAAGCTTTTTGATGGAATACTGGTTTTTGTACCTTTACTTTCGGGACGTGTCTCGTATTATGAAAATATTATGTATTCCAAAAACCCTTGACAGATTTTTAAAAAATTAATTTAGAAAAATGAAATTAATACAGAGAAGGAAATTCATATATACATTACCTGGACATTAATGTTTTCTCTTTGTATCTAAAATGTTTAATAGACAGCACTAATTTCTCCACAGAATTTTAAAAATGGTTACTTTGTTAAGGAAAGCAATATATGTCAGCCGATATTTCAAAATAAAGTCACTTAGACAGATGCAAATCAATTTCTGCATGAAATTTTATTAGTTTGATATATGCATGCTTGTAAACTGAAGAGTGGTACATAAGAAATGTGATATGTGCATAAGGCAAACAATCTGCACCCAGATGATTATTTAATAGTTCTCCTTCATAAACTGTCTACAGTAGCAACCTGCTCTTAGCATATCAGCTGTACTCAGACATCCATGATTAAAATCACTGTACAATTAGAAAGCAGCGCTACGAATTATACACACAGTTCCATACCTTTTCTTAATTCAACTGCAAATGTTACTTCCACTAAAATCTTCAACTAATAAAAAACTGGATTACTATGTGCTGAGGCTGTTTACAGAAATTCATGGCTCAACATTACGTGCTATGCAACTTCTCTTTCATTCATAACATACTCAGCTAATCATTTTTAGCCACACTTCTCCTGCATCTATTGCAGAAATCTGAAAGTTTCTACCATGTGGAATAATGCCACTAGATCAACAGTGACACATTCATTTGGGTGCCCTTTATATTTAACTATCAAGTTGGAACTTGGAATAATATTAATTTATCTCTCAAAGAAAAAACATTATTAATATGTATTGTAAAATACTTCAGTTCATCCAAAAATATGGCACAGATGTTCAGATATCAAGACAACCCACATAATAGTAAATAAATTAAAATTACAAAAAGCAATAACTTATCTTAAATAATTAAATAATTGAAAATAAAAAATATTGAATCCTTCCTTCAAAATAAATCATTAGAAATTTCTATAAATATAACAACTCATAAAAGATACAGACAAAATTAAAAATTTTTACTTCTTTACTAAAGAATTCTTTTACCTATATTTAAATGCATGTAAAATATATATGCACTGAAACAAAACAACCTTCTCATCTACACTTTGAACAAAAATGTCTAAATTTTATAAAGGTTAAAACTGATATATGAATGGAAATCTTAAGTTTAAAAATATTCATGAAAATTCTCGTCCTTGAGAAACATAAAAATATTACTAATTATCCTTACAGATACCAATATAAATGCACTGAAAAGAAAACATAACACTTCAAAAATTTACTTTTATTTACAACTATATATAATACATAATATACATATAGAAGTAAGTTTCATTTCCATCATACTTCCACTTGCTTACAAAAAACAAAAGCTTAGTAAACTATACAAAACTATTTTCCTTCTATATAACTTTTAATTATGATAACGTCAAATCACTTCAAGAGCGATGCAAATAAATTTAAAGATATAATTCCTTAATTAAAAAAATATAAATGGTGCTTTTTATGAATATGCAGACTTTAAAATTATAAACAAAACAAATGTCTTTTATAATGAAACAGATATATCAGAAAATATTGTTCTTTCTTTATGTTGTGAGCCTATTTCTGCCATAATGTCAGACACAAGCTGTAAAATAAATTTATGAATTTCAAATAGTATAATTTTATACATACATGCCAATAAAAAAGTCAATGTGAAAATAAAAAGAAGAAAGAAAATTCTTTTAAATAAAGAAACTTAATAAAAATTGAACATTTATGGAACTTGATCTTATCCATTGATCATTTATCTCACTCTAGCACTGAACAACAGCAATTTGTTAAATTATGCGTGTTAATAGCAAAAATTATATAATAAATATATAATCCTATGGTTTTTTCAATACCATTTCTCGCTTTCACATTTTTTTACCTTATAATTACACCCCCCAGTCATCTTTATTGCCTTATAATTATATATTTCTTATTAAGTCATCTTATAATTGTTATATTTCTTATTAAGTCATCTGCTTGCACCTGAAAGTGATGTAGAAAGAAATAAGAGATGTTTTCACAAAATACTGAAGGTTACCTCAGTACCCTCACCACAGAATATGTCACACTAATTTTTTCCTCATGCTAATGTGGGAAAGGGCGCTAGTTTGCCTGATGATAGCCACTGTTGGTTTCAACGTCTTCGGGGAAAATGTTTAATCCCCAATTTTAGTGACTATCAGAGGACTTTCTGTTGACACTATTCTAAGTAGGACATGACTATGCATGAACCAGTGAAAATGAGTGTTGATGCCATTAAGAAACAGCTTGCAGATTCTGGACTTGGAAACCTTATTAAAGATATTATGACCCTTACCAGCAAGTGTAGAAGGAGAAACTTCACTACATAAAAATTGCACTTTCCATAGTGGAACTACTTGAAAAGTTTGATGAGTTAATTTAAATAGCTAGTTCAATGTAGAATGATGATTCGTCGAATATGAATTTGACTTTTCCTACTCAATGGTTACTGACAATCTTTCTACTATGACTGAAAGCAGAGCAGTCTCCATATGTGCCTGATAACGTTTTCAATAGCTCAGATACCATAGACAGCTCAATGCTTTATAATTTTCTAATTCTCAATCTTAAATGAAGCACTGTGAACTCAAAGGTTAGAGAACACCACTTTCTTTCCAGTTTCAGATACTCCAAAGAGATTAATTCAGAAACTTTAAATTCCAGGCCCCTACTTAGAATTAATAGAGATAACTGGAAACAGCTGCTCAAATGAAGGTGCTGAATGCCAGTATAACATACAAGTTTCCAAGTACTACAGTATTTAAATCACAAGGTGATCATATTTCTTAAAGGTGCTACTTAATCTGTCACATCCGGAACATGTAGGATATTATTGGGTTATACTTTATGTGTCATGGTAATCCACCACTAGCAATAATTGAACTGGAAACAAAAAGTAAAAAGCCTATTTCTACATTTCTCAAGGTGACAAATGTCACTTAATCAATTTTCTTTCTTATTACATTGTCTTACATTCTGATATTTATAGTGACTGCATGAAATAAATAGATAGGTTGTTTTTTTTTCAACCTCCGATTGCACAGTATGATGGCCAGGTATGCGGCAGGTGGTATGTATGCATAATAGGCGACTGTGCATCTCCCCATCCACACGCTCTGTCACTGGAGTATTCAACACGCCATTTTCTGTTGAGATGCAGTCACATAAACATGGCTGTCGCTATTTATTCTCCAGCCAAGTGTGGATTGCGAGCTGTTATTCGTTTCTTGCAGGCAGAAGGGAACACTGCAGCGGAAATTCATTGAAGAATAAGTCGAGTGTATGGAAACAGCTTTATGAGTGATGGCGTTATTTGTGAATGATGTCAAAAGTTTAAAGATGGCCGAACTGATGTGCATGATGAAGGGGGTCAAAGACGCAAGTCTGTCGCTACAGATGACATTGTTCAACGAGTTGACCATGCAGTTAAGCAAAATTGAAGGTTCACCATAAGTGAATTATCGATGAAATTTTCGGAAGTTTCAAGATCTTCCCCATACTCTATCGTTACTGAACAGTTGTGCTGCAGAAAAGTTTGCGCTCGCTGGGTCCCACAGATGTTGACTGACGACCACAAAACTTGCCGAATGGTTGCAGCGTTTCAGTTTCTTGACCGTTACAATACTGACGGATAAGAGTTTTTGACATCCATTGTGACAGGTCATGAAACGTGTTCAATATGACATGCCCGAAACGAAACAACAGTCACAACTATGGATGCACGCAAATTCTCCATAGAGACGCACAAAATTCAAACAAACCTTTAACAACCGTAAGGTTATGGCAACTGTTTTTTGGGACCAAAAAGGCGTATTGCTTGTGGAGTTTATGCAACCTGGAACAACAATTAATGCAGATTCATATTGTGAAACTTTGTGAGGCTTACGGAGAGCTATTCAAAACAAACGAAGAGGCATGCTGACTTCCGGAATTGTTCTGATCCACGACAATGCCCGTCCTCACAGTGCTCGTGTAACCCAACGGCTCCTTCAGCAATTTCAATGGGACATTTTCGAACATCCACCATATAGTCCTGACCTAGCGCCGAGTGACTTTCATCTGTTCCCTGAACTGAAGCAGTGGCTTGGCGGGAAGCACTTCCAAAATGACGTGGAGCTGAAAGAAACTGTCACAACTCGCTTCCAATCATTGGCGGGGACATTTTATGAAGAGGGTATTGCAAAGCTTGTTCACAGATATGACAAATGCATCAATCGTCAAGGTGATTATGTAGAGAAATAATCTGTATTGTACATTACTTTTGGTAATAAAATCTTTTTTGTATATTCACCCGTCTTTTCTTTATAGCCCATCAGACGTTGAAAAAAAAAATAGCCCTCGTATGTAATGTTTTCCATGATGAATAACTGGTTGAGTTATCATAGTCAAACATTAAATAATTTTTTAATCCACAAAATTTCAAAATCATTGCTTTACTACATGCACTTAGTCATTATCCTTCAAATTGCATTTATGTGCAAGACAACTGCAATAAAGGAAAGTGAATAATACACATAATAGGGATCAATAACTAACTGAAAATTAGAATGCTCAAATGCTTTAAATATGTTGTAAGAATATAATACTAACTATGTAAATGGACCTATTTTACAATGAAATATGTCCACTTCTATATTTTAAAGATCAATTCATGAAAAAATATTATTTAACTGCAGTATTTTAAATAAGAAAATAAATATAACAGCTATGACATTTTAAATAACTTTAAATAAATAATTTCTTGATCCCTGATTTTTGGCATAAAAACAGAAACTAAAACTACTGAATTTATTATGCCTATATATAAATTCCTCCAGAATAGTTATTTTTTGGGGGGGGGCAACATAAAAAGATCAAATTTTCTTCTATTGCTGTGACTTTCGTAAAGAATGTTATTGTAATAAAATTATGCATATTCACTAAATCTCAATATAAAGCAGTAATTCGCTGAGATTTTTTTATTCCAGATATGGTTGATAAGTTATAAACTAGGGATGATTTGATTATATTACTGCAATATATGGAAATATTCTATTTTCATTTCTACATGATTTACTTTTATTTTGTTTATGCATAAATTATTAAATATATAATTTTGCAGGAATACAAGCAACATTAGAGGGAATATGACTGTATGCAACTTGTAACAACTAAATTACTGACAAGTCTGATATCAGTGCTTAGTACACATTTAAATCTGAGGACCATTTACAAAACAATATCAACTTTTACATCCTGTAACCAATATGTAAGCTATATTAGTGATTCAAAAATTTTCAGTTTAATATTAACAACCCATTGAAGAGATTTTGAATAAAGTGATAATATACTTCTCATTTTAATTAATGCATGAAAAATAGTTTCATATATTTCATTTGTACATTCTGGTACAGTAATAAAATAAACTGTTAACAAACTTATGCAAGTAAAAAAGGGGAAATGATATAAAATGATTATTTAAACATGCACTGTAATAAAAAAAAACAGCATAGATATAAACTATTAATACTGGTGATCAAAATTAAAAGATAATGAGAAAAAATATGCTCACTATGTTGCAACCAATGCCAAAAGCAAGAAATTATTTATGTTAATTAAATACAACAAAACTGCACTTTCATGCATACGCCAGAGTCAGAAATATGCAAATTCGACAGTTGACAATGTGGTGCGCAATGGATGCATGTTGGAATTCTGGCCTATAGTATCATTTGAGGTGAATGTGGTTTCTGAAAGTGATCAGTGTTCAGTAGTTATGGCTCCAAGGCATCATTTAAGTGCAAGTCAAAAGTGACGAATAACTGATAGAATTGAGGGAGGTCAAATGGACATCACCCAAGATTTGAATATTCCTCAGTCATTTCAAGAGTTTGGAGCCACTTTTTAAGCACTGGACAGCCTAGTCAAGGGTTACCAAGAGCAACAACTACATCAGAAGACTATTTTCTGTCATCGTCAGCTCAAAGAAACAGTGAAGTGACTACAATAGATTTGGTTTTAGACCTTCAGACTGCTACAGGAACTCGAATTAGCCAATCTACTACTACATGAAGGCTTAACGAGGTTGGACTGTATGCGAGAAAATCAATGGTTTGTGTCTCATTCACTCCAGCTTCCAAAGCAGCCCATTTAAACTGGTGCCATTGTCATGTCCAATGCAGCTTAGATGACTGGTCCAAGTATTGTGTACTGACGAGTCCAGATATAATCTGAACAGTGACTCTAAATGTGTTTTGGTCTAGAAAAGGAAGGAAGGAAGGAACATTCAATTTGCCTTCTCTTATCTGTGAAATATCCCATTTTTGCGACTGTGGTTTACGGTCTGGGGAGGAAACATGACAGATGGCTGCACCAAGCTGCATATCTTCAAAACGTTTTGTAACTGTTTTGAAATATATGGACAAGGTATTGGAACCCCAAGTTAGACTGTTTTGGATGTTGTTGGCCCACAGTTTTTCCTAATAGATGATAATGCCCAGCCTCATAGAGCATATGTGGTGTCGGAATACTTGCAAACAGAAGATATCACTCAAATGAATTGGCCACATTACTCACCCGACTTGAACCCGATTGAGCATGGGATGCTTTAGGGTTCTGAATTTCAGTTGGCCAAACGCCTCCCCGAACCCTCCAGGAGCTGAAAAGTGAACTTTTAGAAGAGTGGCATGCAATTCCACAAAACTTGATTAAAAATTTGATAAAGTGTATGAAATCAAGATGTGAGGTATGCATATCTGTTCGAGGTGATTATAGATGGCATTAAAGAAAAAGTTTTTCCACAAGAGGTGACTTAATTTTTTCATCATTTTCCAATTACTATTAATTTGGTTTTATTTCAATATTTTGCGAATAATCAACTACCAAACATTGTTATTAGTCCAAAAAGGGACTATTTGCCCTGAAGGACTATTATTTTCGTTTTGGCATTTTGCGTTGAAAACTTTAAAAGGCGTATCACTTTTCAAATTGTTACCATCAAATATTATCGCACTGTATCATATTTAAAGAAATTAAATAATGAAGAATCTGCATAAATGTATGTATGTTTCTTACATTGTGATAAAACAACAGTACCTAGAGCCGCCAAATTTTGAATGACATAATCCTACTGCAAATATTGGCATCTGGAAGGCCAAATTTAAAATTTGGATTAACAAACTCAAGGATTTCAAAGCGAGCAATGGCAATGTTGCACAGAAAATCATTTTTATCTCCAGCGCGTGAGACTGTGTATCAGAAATTCTAAATATATGCTCAATTCAAAATCATTTTGCAATATTGCTCTTGAACTAACTTTATGGTTTAAATGCGAAGAACATGATATTTAATAAATAAAGGTAACACAAAAAATGTTTAAAAAACGCCCCTTTGGAAATAATTTAAAATCTGAAACCTTCCCCCCCTTTATATATATATATATATATATATATATATAATGTTAACTAATGTTTTTGTACAAATTTCTATTAACAAATTTTCATTAAGTATCAGGTACATTTTATTTCTGTCATTATCCTTTAATTTTGATGACCAGTGTATAATTAAATATTAACGGAGAAAAGTAAATAATTTTATAATATGAATTTATTCCATTCAGCCTTCGTATACATTTAGTGGTGTGGTGTGGTGTATTTAATTACGGCAAAGCACACTAGGGCTATCTGCCAAAGGGGAGGGATGCCTTTCGTGGAGGACTTTCTAAGGGAAACTGGCTCGTATACACGTTACACATGGGGAAAACCCCGAAAACACCCATGCAGCCAGCCCATTCGCGGGATTCGAACCTCGGACCGAACTACCAGTGTTCAGCAACTTTACCGCTCGGCCGCTGGTGGGCCCTCCGTATACATTTAGTGAGCCATAAACATATAAAAAAAGTTAATAATTATTTTTCTTACTTGCTTTGCTTCATTTTTGCTCATATCTCCCCTAAGTAATATTAAAGAAACCAGCTGTTCTAAAGTAACATCCGGATAATGCCGTATAACGCCCTATATTTATAAAAGAAAAGAGAAATACATTTTCTGCTTATACTGATAAACAGGGGGGTGAAAATATGATTATAAAACTAATGCAGACGTTAAGATCACAAAATACTATTATGTGTTACAACTATGATTCACTAAAATAATTAGGCAAGGCAAATAAGAAAGCTTTAACATCTATTGAAGCTTCAACTAACACAAAAATATGAGTTAAAAACAGTTCAAGAGAAAAATGAAATAATGCTGAAAATTCGCCACAAGGTGGAAATGAATATCATGAGTTCAATTCTAAAAATGCTCTGTAAGTGCAGTCAAAAATCTACAACTGCAGAATCATAAATATCTAATTACATTTGCTGTATTGCTTATAAAGCTAACATTGAAAATCAGCAAGTTCTTAAAAGTCAGTAGCATCAGGTTAAGGAAAAATCTTTCAGTTAACTCACAGCTGTTCACAGCTTCCTGTTTCTACTACAGTTTCCCTTCAGCAATAAAAGAGCATTCTACGAAAAAATCCTGTGAATTTAAAAATATGCTTTACAGAAGTTTCTAAAATAATACCTCCAGTGGAACGGTGTAGCACCAGGGTGCCTGGGTTATCGTGAACCCTACCCCTTGTAGAACATCTAAGCTGTTGCGAATGATACCAAAAAAAAAAAAAAAAAAAAAAAAAAAAAAACAATAACTGCAGTCAAATAGATCAGATGAAGAAAATACACTTGGAAAAACAAACTAGGCATAAGGAAATTGTGAGTTTGACGGTGCTAATATTTACAGGAAAGATAAATCAATGCAATACATACGGATACATAGGCAAAGAAGTACAAGAATTAATCTATATTTTAAACTAGGATGAACAAGATAAAAATATTTACAACACTATTTTTTGTCAGTACATTTAGTGCCAAATACGTTTTCAAAGATATTGAATAATATAAACATTTTATCAATAGTTATGTTCCGCTGCACGCAGTTCTGGCATTTTTTTAGTAATTTCGTCGATGATTTTAACAACAGGAAGACCCTTGAATATATCAACTAACTCTTTAATAAGTTTGAGTATGTCCATAACAGCAGCAGGACCGGAGTCTTTAGCTCCATCATTCACACTTTTAACCTTATTCACACCTTTATCCTTTTTCGGCTTCTCAGTAGGGACCGAAAAACCACATTTAACTGTGCTAGCATAGCTAACGCCTGGGGTGACAGGTTTTGCACTAACATTTTATTTTTAGCATTTGAACTAACAGAATCAGTAACATTTTTAGCATTATCAGAACTATTTCTATAAGGTTTAGGAAACTTAGGACAACCATGATAATTCGCAGTGTGCCCTGGCTGTTTACAGTTGCAGCATAACACATTTTCAATTTTTTTTAGCTTTACAATTCTCAGTCCTATGAGGCCCCGCGCATTTAACGCAGCGGGGTTTGAATTTGCAGTTCTCAGCAGAATGGTGGAAGTGTTGGCAGTTGTGATACTGCACAACACTTCCGATATTATTATAGGCAGTAACAGATACATAAAAACACATGAAATACGACAAATCATAAATTTTATGAACTCCAGGTTCGTTTTCCAGCTGCACTTGAAAAAGTGGTATAGGCACCTTAGACATTAAGCGGTGCATCCGAGACACCTTTCTAACTTTATATCCTAAAGCCTCAAGCTCCTCCTGGATTTTGTCCTTCGGACAATCAATAGGGAGGCCTCTGAACACTACTTTAACAGGCTTTTTATGTTTTGCTAAAATAATACCATGTTGACTAAAAATTACTAAATTAGTATACACCTTTGGTTACATTATTTCCATAAATACAGCCCATTTACTGAGATTTACAATACAGGAACTAAAAAGTGAACACAAATAAAAGAAAATATAAAACATATAATAAATAAACATAAAACTATCATAAAATAAGCTCTATAAAAAGTAAACAATAACAAATACATAGCAGTATCAAAAAATAAATACCATTACCAAAAAAATATAAATATTTACATAAAATTATGATAATATGTTTCCATCTGATAAGACAGAAAAACAACGAGATGTTTTAGATGATTTTCAAAACATACTCACAGAGATCTCTAAAGACAACATGCTTATATCTTTTAACTTTACAACTTCTCCCAGAAGTGGTAATGCTTCAAATGGTGATTCTTTCTAAAATTAATAATTATTTATGGAATAAAGAACAAAAGATTGAACAAGAATAACACTTGCATATTACATATTTTTATGAAACCAGACATAAGATTTTTCATAAAAATAATTTATCATAAACAAAAATAAAGTTACTTACAGATTCCTCAATTGGAACAAATTTCTTCAGTACATTTTCCAGCGTTATTTTTCCATCATAATATACTCTCTTTTTCACTATTGAGCTTAACTGAAAATAATAAAATATATACAATTTATCTAGATGTAATAAACCAGAAAATATATTTTTCAGATGAAAAACATCGTATTCTGAACTGTTCTTTGTACTTCTTAAAAGCTGGCAATATATAGGATGTCCATAATGTTTCAAACCAGTAAAAAAATTATTTCTGAGCTTTGTTCTAAGTATCAAAATTTGTTTGAAGACTGATAATAATGTAGAAAACACTAACTATTCCTATTCTTTCCTCTGTTGATAAGAAACTATTCAAGCTGAATTTGTTCTAACAAGGCATTTTTAACAAGTTCTAACAAGTATTTAGCTAATTCCTGAGAAACATTAAAAGGTACTAAGATATTAGGGGATGTGGAATAGGAACACTACTAGATATTTAAGGGCAAACGTTCAAGTCACGTGGATGATAAATGGTGTGTTACAGTTACAACAGCAAATAATGTAATAAATGAAAAATAATCATGTAAACAATATCTGCAGATACCATGTAAAATATTCAACAAGTAAGATATTATAACCTAATGACACATGTCTGCATTCTCAGTAGGGAGTTAAATTAGCAGTGTGCTTTCACTAAACAATACAAAGCAAGTTTGTGTTGACCCATGACATGATAAACATATTTATTCAATATAAAACACAATATTTTCCACACAGTGGCACATGATAAATTGGCTTTCTGAATACTTTACACAGTATTGGCTGTTGTTGTAAGAACATCTGAATATATTTCATCTCTTTTGCTACCTGATTTTGTACATTTATTAACAAGAAGCCATATATTCATTCTTGTTGGATCAGATTTTTAAACTATGCTCAAATGTGGCAAAAAAGGCATATTATAATAACTCAGAATATTAGCTGTTCTTTCTTCCGTGGTTATTCTTACTCTAATTCTTGACATCAAGAACAAAATTGAGAAAAAAGTATTTTTTCACAAGAATGGATCAAGATGCAATGGAAAAACTTATTTTCTTTAATTGAATTTGTTTCTTTAAGTTGTGTTTGTAATAAATTGAATTTTACTTTTTTAAATTGTAGATATTATACTTATACATAATTTGAAGAAATAAAAATAACTTTTGAAAGGATATGTTTCTTTACTTCCTTTAAAAAAACTCTGGCTTTTAACCACAATTGAATTCTGGATGTCATTACTTAAATAAGAGAAGCCAATTCAAGTAATTACATGTAAATAATACCATTCAAGTATGGCCAGTTTCATTGTTGTTGGGATCAACTTATTACATAAGTAATTCAAATTCCTAACAAATTTAAGAAATTTAACACAATTAGCTCCTTGATCTAATCAATAAGAGGTGTATAAAGAAATGTGCATATTTCTTCACAACTTCATACTTAGGAACAATTAGAAATATATTATTTATGGTCTTATAAATAATAATAAACAATTATAATTCACTCTTGTCCATTTAGCAACACGTGTTACTAGTGCAGATTCTAAAAGTAAGTTGTATGTTTGCCAAACAATGAGTGGGTGGATTGAATAAACAATGCACTCCATAAGCACATAAATGTAAACTGCATTGATAAGTAAGTGAATAACATCTACTAATTTAGATGCTGTCAAAATACAAATAATACTTTCAGGTTAATAAATCCATATATTCATATCAGGTTCTTTGTTTGGGAAAAAAATTAAATAGCAAGAACTAATTATTGTTTTAATGCAGCATAAAACTTAACATAGAAAAATAAAGATGGCCTGCTACTGCTGGTTCAAATTACACGGTAAGAAAAACAATAAATAAATTATCATCCAATATGTCTTTTAAAACTTTTCTGACAGCACAATTCATTCACAAATCTTTCAGAAATGACTAATCAATTATTGACTACACCTAAATAGTTCTCAAACTGTGATACACAAGGAAACTTTCCATGGGATATTGCAAGGAGCTTTCAAAGGAAAACAACAGCAATGCCTCAATGGCTTTCCTGATGCTGAACTTGACTATCAACCCACTGCAGCTTGAAAAGTGACTCAAGCAACAATGTTTATTTTTTTATTAATAACTCAATTACAAAAAGCACTGCAACTTTTTATGTCAGCATTACACTAGGCAATGATTACACACTTCACCACACATTGCTGCAAAGTGTTAAGTGTGTTGACAACAAGAAATTTAACAGAATTTTTTTTTCCATATGCAAAAAATACATTTTATAAATTATAATCATAAGCCAAAAATTACATTTAATGCTGTTTGATTTGAGAATAATTGATTTGTTATTCAAATATGTCCAGGACTGATGCCACAGTTGGTGCAGCCAGGTGGCAAAATTTTTAGAGTTTAAGGAAGTACTCAGCAGCAGAATTTCAGATGCACTACAGACTGCACTGGGCTGCAAAATGGCCTGGGATAATCCTTAAATACACGCAAAAATTTATTTATGTGGGACTTGGATAAGCCTTAAGCAAGTGCAGGAATTAGGTGTAAGTCTAATAAATAATTAAGCTAATATAAGTCAGCCTTAACTTCGGCAGTATGCAATAGAAGCAAGACAAAATTTAGTGGAAAAACATGTGTTCAGTCGCCAATCTCATGATACATTGCCAATAGTGCATAGCAGATGCTAGCTGAGCTTAAGATGATAGCTGTGAATTTGAAGGTTTTCAAATATCATAAACAAAAAGCAATTTTCTAATTAATCGAATTTGTAAATAAATGTGAAGATGTGATACTAAGATAACAGAAGTTTTTTTTCACAGTGACAATGCCACATTCATGAATCAAGTAACAAATGGCAAAATCGCAGTATAATTCTATATCCAGAAAATATTGCTACAGATAGTGAAGAAAGTGGCTGAAAGCTTGTTGAGAATGAAAACATTTCAATCAACAATTTAGCGGGAATTCTCAACATGACAATTGCAGGATTTGACACTGGAAATTTGTAACTGAGCAAGAAATTACATATATCTAAAGAATTAAAGAAAGTTTTAGCACAAAGCAAATTATAAGCAACTTCTATTGACAAAAATGCTTAATAAAACAAAGAAATAAATACTGAGCTTTTGTTTTTATAAATTTTGATTCCCTTTACATTATAAGTACATTATTTCATAAATTCTGCATGTCATCTTACAAGATTAAAAATGATGATCTACTACCTGATAAAATCCAAAATCTTGAATCGCTGAAGTCCTCACAAGTCTGAACAAGGATTTTGTACTGTATGTATATGTGTTAGATTAAAAATATGTTACTCAAACATTATAACTTTAAATTACAAAAGTCCTTTGAATGTCCATTTTAATTTGAATTTATTCTCATTTGAATATTGCATTGGCTATTTCCGGTTTCTGATCTAAAAATAGTATCTGCTTAAAAAAATCCCTAAGTTGCATCACTTCAAAATTAATACCTGTCATATGATTCTTGCATAAAACTACTGATGCACACACCTTTCATAAGACCAATAATAACTTTAGAAACTTGAATATTAATCAATCAAAGCAAACTGAAACTAACTCATTGTGAACCAATACTCAAATCACTTCGAAGCCAACTTTCATCTTATACATGCTGCATTCGTTATCTGCTTCTCTCACTAGCTAGAAGATTGCCTACTCTTGCTCTCTTCAAATATATTTCAAAACTGCAAATGATAACCATATATTCTTTAAGAACAGGTGCTTACTGAACTAACATATCTATGTTGGTTTTAAAAAATGTTTAACAATGAAAATGAAGAGGAATTTTAAAATCAGTTATTGACTGCAAGTATCTCCATCTTCTCTTCTAAACCATTACTTTTTTCCACGAGATAACTGCTTCTTCTTTACGCATTAACAACAATTTCTATTTAAATCATTACATATTTATTTATTAATTTATCCATGTATATGTAAGTATATTTCAAAGATAGTGGTTTACTTTATAAAATATTATTTATAACAGTTCAAATTCAGATTCATTATCTTTCTTTTTATTAGCATTTTGTTTAGCATTTTTTAATTAATAACTTCTTCATTAATTAAAAAAATGCTAAACTTCTCTGAAGAATTTTGGTCATCTATTAACAGCAGTTAAGATTTTTTTAATGAAAGGAATAAAATAATACAAATAATCCTAATAATAATTAGGATGTTACTTATTTGAATTATAATGTTAATAATGAGGATGTTACTTATTTGTATTAGTAAGATCTGAAACATTCAGCCCCTTATGAAAATCAGTATTGATATTGTATCACTTCAAATTTTCAGCAAGGATGATTATTGACATTAATCGAAAAAATTCTTATTTAATTTTTTTTTTTTTTTTTTTTACTTCTTACACACCCTTTTATTAAATGGAGCTCGTTGAAATAACTGCTGCAACACTTTTCCTTCTTCACACATCTTTTCAGCGGCTTGCTTTCGCTCTTCATAACTTTTAAAACTCATTCTCCTACAAATAAATATTTTTTCAAAAAATTATTAATAAACTATTTAGTGAGATACAATAATCATCAATATCAGAGATGTCAAATGCTAATTCTAAAGATTTCTCTTTACAAGATAAAAAATCTGTGCTAGTTGCAGAATGATTATCAAAATTTAGAATTTAACTGCAATTCTTTCCAATTGGTAAAACTACAAAATTAAAACAACTATTCTTTTCTCAGTTCACGGTTGCTAAACTTCCTTCTAACTACATCAACCCAAGACTTTAATTCTTTGTGAAATTCACTCAAGACCTTTATTCTGTTCTCTCTTTGAATTAACTTCACCTTACACTGCTGATTCGATTATTGATCGTCTCTCACAGACCATCGAAATTTACAACAATTTCTTTCAAGACAATCAGATGGCCAGAAAGTGATAAAGAACTATCCCAGAGAGATATCTAACGACTTTGCTCAATGAACAAATCTATGTTGGTTTAAAAAATGTTTCAATGATTTTTTATTTATTGACAATCTTTTCTTTCTAAACCATTACTTTTTCACGAGATTTTTTTACGCATAACAACAATTCTATTTATCATACATATTTTTTATTCCCAGATATGTAAGTATAAAACTATTATTACATTTATCTTTCTTTTTATTCATTTGATATTAAAAAAATGCTATTTCTTGAAAATTTTTTTAATGATACCATCTAATTTACTTATTTGTATTAGAAACTTATCACTTCAATTTTCAGATTCTGTTTAATTTTTTTTTTTTTTTTTTTACCTTCACACCCTTAGCGGCTTTTCGCTTCATAACTTTTAAAAATAGTATGTAACATATGAGCACAAAAGAACTAGACTTAGTTATCCATGTCTTCTTTAAAACTACTGGACTGTTAATATATTACGTACACTACTCGACATTAAAAATGCAACACCAAGAAAGAGTGGCCAGAAAGTGATGAAACTCACAGAGAGAGACAGCAATGAACAATAAGTGATCTTTATTTCGAAATGATATGCAAAATACAGATATCTAACCTAAAAATATACTATATCTAACCTAAAGATACTCGAAAAAATTACCAGAGTTATGCCATTCCATCGAGCCAGAAGAGACATTATTTAATAACACAAAACTATTATTATACATAATCCATTTAAATAACTAAACTATTAAAGTAACTGCACGAAAAAGCTTTTATTGCACGCAAATTTTGTTTCAGAATGTTAATAATATACATTGTACTGCTATGGAATTCATGATTTATATTCAGATTTTACATATGAATTAACATACTTACCTTTGCAAAACAGAATGAATATAATTAACAGCTATTTGATTCATTACATCCGTAATCAGTAAATTAAAGTTTTCTGGCAGGAGATGGGTATAATCACTCCCATAATCTTCTAATGTAGCATGAATAGTGTCTACAATTTCAGTACCAGACAAAAACCTAAAATATGAGATTTATACAATGATAAGAATTATTAACTCAAAATTATTCAGATAGACACACTTTTAATTATGTAAAACTAATTACAACAACTGAATGCATAACTTGGAGTAGATTTGCTGGCTCAAATAAATGTAAAAAATAGATTGGTGTTCAACCATTAAAAATCTTTAAAAAATTAAAAGTGATAAAAAAATGGTGGAACATTTGATATGATATTTTCTCTTATTAATAATAAAATTGTAATTTTGATTGCTAGACTTTTAATTAATTGGATAAAACTACTAAATCTCTTATTGAAACATTATTTTCAAGTCTTTATACCATAAAAGGGTGAAATTATATTTGATACTGAAATTTCACTCTTCTTTAAGAATATTAATAGAAGAACAAGACTGAAAATTCCTATTTAACAGGCTTTCCACAAAACTGAAAATTAATAGTAAGTAAGACTATATATAGAAAATACTATTTTCATTATTCTTTCAAAATATCTTTCACCTGTGTTCTTCTTTCTCACTGGAAGTATTTTTATAGAAATCATGCTATCTGTATTTGGAGCAGAAAGTATATGGCCTCAACAAAAGCATGATGGACCAACAGGTTTTTTCCTACTACTTAAGAATAAAAGTTGATGAATTTTCAACAGATTTTAAAATAAGTGAATTTTTGATTGGACATGGCAATTTTAAAAGCTGTTTAAAGCAATTTGGACTTGCTTCAAATGCTTTGTATTGCTGGGATAGCGGCAATGAAGATGTTATGCATATCCTTCTTGACTGCATTCATAATGTCTAGCAGAGGAAGAAAGATACTTCAGGCAACTTTAAAGCACCTGCCTGTAACTTGGCTACCACTTTTTTCTGAACTTTTTTAGACTAATGAGACAATTTCTGCTTTTTTGGAATTTCATTCTCAATTTAGATTATTGAGTTCTCTTTCTTTTATTACATTTTTATTTCATTTTCTGCCATTACGGTCCTATTGCACATTTGTTTATTTATTTTTGTAATGCTATAACTTACTTGTGTAAGCCTTATAGTATACTTTGTGGAACATGATAACTTGAAATAGAGTTAAGAAAATATATATATATTATCCTTCATACACTAACTGCATGACTAGAAGTCATCTATTATTACAGCATTTAATACCATTTGGAACTATTCTAATATTTCATTCCGGCAGCTAATTCCCTCCCTAATGGGAAAAACCTGAAGAAAGTTAAACTGATCAGCAAAGGTAATAAAGGGTAATAAAGGGTAACTATCATGCAACAGGAGGAAGAAAAGTGCTGAAAAGCAAAATGCATTCATTGATTTGTGAGTAATCTTTAACATGTTCATTTTATCAAAGAGAATTTAATGACGTGTACCATCAGACAATAAAGTAACCTCACAGATATTATGAATATTTTGCCTATAGTCAAGTCTTCAGGAAATTTCAACATTTTTTTAATCTCTCTGATATTATACTGTAGATCAGAATACAGAATGATCATTATCTTTAACTGATGTGTGGTCATTTTTGAAAGAGTTAACTAACTGCAGTTTATGACTTAATGAATAGTGTTTTGCAGAAAGCACACTGAACCATTTTGTTTAGTTTCTGAATTCTAACAAGTTTATGATAAAACTTAATGAATGCACATTATTCTTTCAAGTCACCATTTTTATGTACTAGAAATCTGAAAAATGCATAAAAGCCAATGTTAAGAAAAGAAACCTCAAATAAAACTAATGTGTAGACGAATGAAGATGAATCAACACAATAAGCTACTTAAAAAAAAAAAAAAAAAAAAAAAAAAAAAAGTTATTCTCTGCATTTTGCAATGAAGTAAATAAAAAATATAAAGTGTTTAACAGAAAAAGTTTTTAACATTTTCCAAGCATTTCTATCAGAAGAATAACTTAGAAAATTAATCAGATTTCAAAATATCTTACCATGTACGAGTCATAACCTCATTAAGATGGCTATTCAAGTCCATAAAAAGTTCTTCTCTTAAAGCTTTTAATCTGAAATAATAATGTCTTATTTTAATGTAAAAATTCCACATTTTAAGTTAATAAATTATTCAGAAATTAATAAATTTTTAGGTATTATAAAAGCTAAATTTTTGCATGTTATGATCGTAATAAATACTATACAGACAGCTTTTACTAATTTTAAACAAGATTTTATAATCATGTAATACATAAAAATATCTACAGGTAGTCTTTAAAATAATCAGAATGCTTCATAATAACTTTGCTCTACTAATAATGTGATCAAGCCCTTTCATCAAATACTAAAAAGCAACTTCTATTTTGTGTCAAACAGTCAAATATAAATAAATATATTTAAACCACTGTAAGTTAATGTAAAACTGAAAAAAACTAATTGTTACTTACACTACTATTATAAGTTTCAGAAATGCTTCTATTGTTTTACAAAATATATTTTCTGCAGTTCCAGAAATTGTATTTAGGTCTTTACAATAACGTAGCCTCAACTTATCAGCAAATTCACAAAACTGAAGGCAATTGTTTGCTGTTGCAATCTTAAACAAAATAAAATTGAAGAATAAGAATGGTTAAATAGTGCAATCAGTAATAGAATAATCGACACAAAATCTTCTCATATAATGTATAATCCAAATAAAAGAACATTTTCTTTTTTTTTTTTTTTTTTTTTCAATTAATCACAAAATTACCACTTTAGTTTTAGCATGCAGCATCATTAGCAAAGTCATTACTAAATCAATTATTACTCTAGAAAAAGTGGTGAATCATATTTCACTAAAAAAGGATGTAGCATAAACTCCCGTTTTATTTTCTAAATTATTTAATTTAAACTAACTATTTAAACATTTTTTAATACCAATCTAAAATTCCCTTTAAAATGTAAATGGAAAAATGAAGAAATAAGCAACAAATTAAGTAAATGAACATTTGTAAACTAAACATGAGAATAATTTAAGGAAATTTAAATTATCCATACTAATCTTTTAAATAATAAATGAACTATAAACATCTCTGTGTTTTTCATTGCATAACTGTAACAGAAATTTTTGGCATAAAAATACAACATGTAAATAATCACCATATAGGATGTAAAGTATTTCACCACACTTCTGTTTTCAAAATGTTTATTTCTGTAGGAAATAATGGATTCTATAAAATAAAAAACAACACACTATAGCAGTTAAATTCATTGTTTCTATTATGATAAAAAGATTCCATAATATAAAAATAACATAACTAAATAAGACTTTAAATCCAAATCCTGAACAGTGAAGTTTTATTTTAAAATTTTTTAAATACTTATTTAATTAAATTTCTTGCAGGCATTTTCTGCTTAGAAAATTAAATTTCCATATTTGAGTTTTTCCACAAATGACTTTCTTAAACCTAATGTAATGCAATAAATAACAGGACAAAAAAGAAGGTATGTTAGTCCATAAACTTAAATGTTATGAAACATCATGTTCAAAGTAGCTGGAGGGGCTGATTTAAAAATCAGATAAAATCAAATTTATAAGATAATTTAAGAAGCAACATCAGACTTCCAGTTTATATACTTTTTAAAATTAGCAACAGAATGATAAATAATACATGAATGGAAAGGGAAAATATCAAAGTTTTACTAATAAATGTTTGATATGATTCCTCCACTTACATACATAATGCTGATCCAATATGAAAACTCTTGCCAAACATATTTCAGTACATCAAAGGTAAATGTTTTTAAAGCAGCAGAAATGCATTTTTTTAAAATTGTTTGGGCTGGGCTTTTGTAAAATAATAACACAAATGCCTGAATTTTCACCTAGACCCTAAAACTAGAACTGAAAGGCTAAGATTTAAAAACGGCATAGAAGGCAACTACTTAAAACCAAATTATCAGATTTACTGATTATCATGAGTCTGACTGACATCATGTAAATGACAATAGGCAAAAAGTTTTCAGCTGCTTTCAACTGTAATTTCATATTTTCTCCAAAAGAATTTTCTTAAAAATAGACTATCATCCTCTTGCTTAAATATTAAAACTTTGATAGTTCTCCTTTATTATTTGTATATTACTTATTCATTCTTTTTAGTAATTTCTAAAACAATAAAAATCTGAAATCCAGTGATTCTAGCAAAACTACTCAGTACATTTAAAATAGTAAAGCATTTTTTGGAAAAATCCAAAAGAAGATCAAAATTAAATAAAAATTTGCCTCTCTCTCAAACACACACACACACAAACAAAAAAAAAAAAAAAAAAAAGAAAAAGAAAAGAAAAAAGAAAAGAAAAGAAAAAAGGGAAAAAAAAGAAAAAGAAAAGAAAAAAGGGAAAAAAAAAAAAAAAGATTTAATTTAAAAAAAAAGGAAATCTGAAATGCTTCAGATTTTAAATTACATCCAAAGGACTTTTAACATTTTGTGTGTTACTTTTACTTATTAAATATCATGTTCTTTGCACTTAAACCATAAAATTCAGTTCAAGAGCATTATCGCAAAATAATTTTAAATTGAGCATATCTTTAGAATTTCCGATACACAGCCTCACGCGCTGGAGATAAAAATGTTTTTTCTGTACAACATTGCCATTTCTCACTTTGAAATCCTTGAATTTGTTAATAAAAAATTCGTTGAAGTTTTACAATATATGAAATTCATAATAATAAAACAAATTCCAAATTTCGGCTTCCAGATGCCCATATTCGCAGTAGGATTACAAGATTCAAAATTTGATGGCTCTAGGTACCGTTGTTTCATCATAATGCGAGAAACATACATACATTTATGCAGATTCTTCATTCTTTAATTTCTTCAAATATAATACAGGGCAATAATATTTGGTGGCAACAGTTTGAAAAGTGAAACGAACATTCAGAGTGATTCGACACCAAACGAAAACAATAGTACCTCAGGGACAAAGCCTATTTGGACTAACAAAATGATGAATATGTCAAGTATCATTTAATAGCTTCCATGGTTTAAAAATCAAAATTCATGTTTAGCAAATTTTAAATCTTATAAAAACCAATAGATTTTAAAAAGCAAAATTTCAATAATTTTTTTAATTTTTGCCTAAGAACATTAAAATTCAAACAATCAATTAAAATATGGAGCACCAGTAAAGAAACATTACAACTTATACTGAATGATGAACACACTTTCACCTTTCAGCAGACATGCCCTTCCATAATCTTGCAGGTTCAAGCATATTTTATATTAAAATATTTTTTTAATTTTTAATACTCTTATTGCTGATCCAAAAGTTTAGCATTAGTTTTTAAAAAACTATTTTATATCTGCATTTCAATGTATGCAAAATTTGATATCCATTGGTTAAGGGATAGAATTAAGAATAAGATCAAGCCATCATTTACTTAAAATTTATAAGAAGTGGCAGTATTTGGTATCTCTGTAAATAAAAGTTGTTTATGTATAGTTTCATAAATATAATACTTGACTGAGTTATGAAATATATTAATAAGCTGTGTTTTCACTTCAGGCCAAGGAAAGATAAAGAATCACTTACCTGTTTTCGCTAGTTATAACATAAAATCAGATTTTTATTTATTATATCCCTTTTTATAAATAGTAAATTTCATACTTTCAGGCCCCTTTGTATTAATTACTATTTGATAGATTTCCTTTTTTTACTGCTGATAATATATAATAAAAGTTCAAATTTCTTAAAAACATCTTAATGCTATCTGTACAAACATGCTATCTGTACAAAATACATACAAGTTGCATACTCTATTCCTTCTAAGTTTAAAACAATTTATGACCATTTTAAATTCTTCTAGTGATGTCCTGCATTTAAATTTTTTTTTGTAAACTAACGATGCCTTTAAAAATACAAACTTAAAACTCACCTTCATACTGACGTGTAAATTCAAACACCTCCTCAAAACTCAATTGCATCATACGATGAACAAGTTCTTTATTAACAGTCTGTGCAACTTGTAACTAAAATACAATAAACACTATTAAAAAAACTGCATAATATTTAACAATAAGATATTTAAAATCTGTACACTTTTTTTTAATATATAATGTTACATATGAAGCTGAAAGCATAACACTTAAAGAGTTTTCCTAAATTTTAATACTTTATTTTTCACTCAACATGCTAAAATAACAATATTTTCTTTGAATTCACAAAAGTGAATTCCTACATTTAAAAAGAAATAAATCCTAATATCTACCAGCTATGACTACCTATCTTCCATGTAAAGAGCAGATGCTTTCCTTTTTTTAATTTAAATCTAGCCCAAAAAAATGAACATCAGTCATTTTTAATTTTGTAAATAGGCTTTATCAATTGCTAGACTGGAAAAGCTAGGAAGAATACTTGAAAAAGTTCTCAGACTTTATATTAATAGCTATACACATATAATACACATTAAGAAAAGATATACAAAGCTGTTTGATTGCATAAAATATAAAATTTATTAAATGGTTAACAATTAAAAAAAATTACATACAACTTTTTTTAGCCCAAAGGACGTTAGCCCAGAAGGGCTATTAATTTCGTTTTGGCATTTTGTGTCGAAAACTTTAAATGTCAGTTTCACTTTTCATATTGTTGCCACCAGATATTATCATGATGTGTTATATTTAAAGAAATTAAATAATGAAGAATCTGCATAAATGTATGTATGTTTCTCGCCTTATGATAAAACAATGGTACCTAGGGCAATCAAATTTTGCATAACATAATCCTCCACTGAATATGGGCATCTAGAATCCCTATTTTGGAATTTGGAATCTGCTTTATTATTGATTTCATATTTTGCAACACTTTGACGAATTTTTGATTAACAAACTCAACGATTTCAAAGTGTTGTACATTGTACCCCCCCCCTAAAAAAAAAAAAAAAACTTTTTATTTTCAGTGCACGAAACTGTGCATGAGAAATTCTATAAATATTCTCATTTTAAAATTATTTTTCAATATTGCTTTTGAATTGAATTTTATGTTTTAAGTGTGAAGAACATGATATTTAATAAATAAAGGTACCACACAAAATGTTTAAAAAATGCCCCTTTGTATATAGAGTAAAATCTGAAAGCTTACATATTTTTCCCCCCATGACTCATATGCCAACATAAAGCAAATCCAATGAAACTGGAAAACAAGTAAACAAATAGGTTTCCATTAATGGCCAAATGGGAAAGCTGTGCAGAACACTTGTTATTTTGTAACAAAATTACTAATATTAAAGATTAAAACCATGTATAACAGTTCACCAAAGGATCTGGCTTTTCTTAATTTCTTCCTAAGATATAAATGCTGTTCAACAGTAAGAAAAGTGAATTTACTTACATGCTGATCTAACATATTATACATGATTAACGGCAATTGGGTGTGAAAATAACCACTTTCATCTTCATCTGGTCCTTCATTTTGTTGCCAATCCTATAATCAGAAAAGAATCAGAATAATAAAAAAAAAATTAACTAGCTAAAGTAAAAAGTATGCAAATATTATTCACTTTAAACCAAATTAAATGAAAAATCAAATGTACTCGTTCATTTTAAAAGTATGAATTAAAAATACTTCAAAACAGAAATTCCTTTTTAATTTTTAAAGAAAATGTTTTCAAAAATTTCGAAAATCTCTATTTTTATTTTGCCATCATTTTACATACATAGTTATTATTTTAAAAAATTAAAGCTTTTGATAAACAAGATAATTAAATACTCTTCTTTTAAAAAATACATATTTATTGATATCTTAAGAAATTAAAACTTCTGAAAAGCAAGAAAATTAAATACTCTTCTTTAAAAAAAAAAATCATAGCTGTAACTATTGAAATACTATAAATGCAAAGCTCATCTAAAAAGTAAGTACCATTTGGATATTAAAAAAATTACAATTTGTTTTCATTTGTACTTTATTACAAAAAATCAACACACCTTAAATTACTTTTGGATATATTCGTCATGTGTAATTAAGGCATGTGTCATATCCACTAATTGCAGCATAATCGCTTCATAGGATTCAGCCGCTTGCAACCTGAACCAGTTCTGGACAATTACCTTGATCGCCTGTCACAACATTCATCGCCTGTCACAACCTTTTTCAAAAAATCATTTCCTTATGTCACATAATGATGCAAAAACTCCAAGCTTGCTCTAATATATTCATGTTCGTGAACATTTATTAGTGTTTTTGGTACCCATCACGAACACATTTTTTTGTAGTACAAATATTCAGTCAGAATTTTGTGTAATAAAGACCATGAAATGTTTTGAAAATGCACTGATAAATCAGAAATCATGAATCAGCCATTGAAATGAACTTTTTTATCACTCGCAATGTGCTGGCTAGCAAGAAATTTCTTGAGATGAGAAGCCAAATGGAGCTATAATTATTAGATCTGGACTATAAAGAGGGCGATAGAATTGTTCCAAGCAAAATGAATCAAGTAGCAGCATCATTACACATGTGGTATGCAGTCTCACATTATCACGCATGAACACAATGCCAGAAGTCAGTAGTCTATGCCTTTTGCAGTACACTGCATGTTGCAACTTTTCAATGTCTCACAGTAACCTGTAGCATTGATTACTGCAACTTGTTCCATTCAGTCCCAAAACAAAAATCCTTGACAGTCCCAAAACACGGTGCACATGTTTTTCTTAAAAAAAGAGATGGCTTTGCTTTCTCGGATTTCGGGGATACAGTATGCCGCTATTCCAGTGACTTTCGTTTCATTTCATGTGTCTCATAACAAATCCATATTTCATCGCCTGTCACAACCTTTTTCAAAAAATCATTTCCTTATGTCACATAATGATGCAAAAACTCCAAGCTTGCTCTAATATATTCATGTTCGTGAACATTTATTAGTGTTTTTGGTACCCATCACGAACACATTTTTTTGTAGTACAAATATTTAGTCAGAATTTTGTGTAATAAAGACCATGAAATGTTTTGAAAATGCACTGATAAATCAGAAATCATGAATCAGCCATTGAAATGAACTTTTTTATCAATGCAGCACACCAATTCTTCGATGATCAATGACGGGCATCCACTGTGCTCCTCATCAAAACATTGTCTCTTCCTTTTTTCAACATCATAACCCACTTTCACACCATAACTTCACTCCTCGCATTCCCTCTTTCAGTTTCACTTATCTGATGATAAATTCCTGAAAGTTGAATATTTCTTGCATTCAAAAATTTGATAATGACTCTTCAGAGCTGGTGGGCCAATCAGTTGTTTCAAACACTGACTTCAAACATTAATGTAAACAAAGAAAATGGCTAGGCTAATTCATTCTCGAGTTAAACAATGTAACTATGCATGTGCAGTCATCGTGCTCTCATATGCATGGGAGTTATACACAAACAGTACTTACTTCCTGGATCAGCTTTGTAATTAATTATTTCAGGATTATAAAACAATAAAAAGCATAAATATTCATAAAATATTTCCTACACTAGGAAAAAAAATTTACTTAGTTCTCATTTCCCATCATACAAAAAATTTGAACAAAACATTTAATAAAATTCAAAACAGGCTCACCTTTACATCAGTAGCAAGAGCATTCTTCATCCAATCTCGGTAATTCCGTTTGACATTGTGTAAATATCTATTATTCATTAAATTTAAAAAAGAAAAACAATGTTATATATAAACTAAATAGCAAAAAATGTGTATATTAGTAAGGAAGATAAAAAAGATGAAAACTGCACATGTTAATTAAAATTAATTGATGAAATTTCAATTGAAATTAAGATCTACAATAAAACAAAAATTACTCTTAATAATAAGCTCTGAAATAAACTCAGAATGTGAATTACATTTAACTCTTTTTGTATTCAGTAAAAGCTTTATAAAGCACACCTTGAATAAATAGATTAAAAATAAAGTGCATGCATTTTAAAATTCTCCATTATAATCCCCCTTCTCTTGCACACACACACACACACACACATATAAAACACTCTTATTTTTTTTATTTTTGTTGGTTTTGCTTTGTTATTTTTATATGTAACAACAAATTTTATAACACATAACAATAACATTTATTCAGTTATAAAGATGATTCCTTCCATTCCTACAGACAAGAGTTCTTATGGTCCAGAAAAAAGTTTTAAAGGTATTCAGCATGAAAGCCAGAATAACAATATATTTAATGAAACCAGGCTTAATTTTAACAATTAACTACTTCTTTTTCAATATACTTCTATATTTAAAATGTTCAAGGGAAATGCTTGTAGAGCAGTTTTGTTTTATAAGTAAAAAAAAAAAATTATTTAGTCACATTCAAAATAACATCCATAAGATTACACAAACTTGCTCCAGCATTCTTGACATTCTTAAAAGCACTGCAGGGAATTTTGCTTACAGTATTACCTATTATAAATCGACTGTCATATAATGTTGGATACTTTCAGTTATGTTGAAACATTGCCTTCATTGAATCATCTTCATAAGAGAGAAAAGAAGGATGAAAGGATGAAGAATTTGGCAAATTACGTGGTTGTAGCATGATAAAGATTTGTTTCTGATCAAAGCAGCACAATCTTCTTTCCTGAAGCATACTTTGCTAAAAGAGCAATATTACAACATATGGTTCATAATACTTTAAATTCATTTTCACTGCAAAACTGATATGCCAGATTTTATTACTTCATATATTTTTTCTTCCATAGAAAGTAAATTAATGTCATCTAATAGCCAACTACGGTTATTGCAAATTCCATACACAAGGCTTTTCCACAAACTTTCTGAACAAAGAAATATACAATTCTGAAAAATAGCTATGTACAATTTGAAATAAAATAGCAACTCACTGATTTACCAAACTGGTAATAACATTGCTTTCTAATAATGGAGGCAGCTTTGAAACATCAATATTAAGATCTGGATGTCCAAGCATCTCTGAGCTCCTGTAAAAACAAAGAAATTAATCTTTCATTTTTAGACATAATATAATGTATAAAAAATAACAACATATCAACACTTTATTAACAATATTAACAGGTATTTCCCATTATTTACATGTTAATAACTCCAAATACAAAAATTTTATGAAAGGCAAATGGTTAAAAAAGTTAACTTAAATGGCTTCTTTAAAACAATCATACACTGTATTGAACAAACATAAATTTGTTTCACATAAAAACTAAGAACTGAGAAATAAATTATTTCAGTATACTTTTAAGTATTAAGCTGTCTCAATAAGAAGCACGTGATTTTTGGAAAGACATATTAATGGAGAGGGGAACAAGTCTGACATTCAGGTCAACATTACATACATATAAGAAAACAAATTTCTAAAGAAAAAAAATCTGATGTATACACCACATGACTTATGTAATATGTATTTTTTACATGTACCGAATATTAAATTATACACATTTTTTCCTACATTTCACTTAAACTTATTTCCTCGAATTTCATTACACGTATATTTCTTATTCAAGTAATTCAGTTCTCGCTTCACGCAAGGCAAAAATACATAAAACCTCAAAATATCTTTATTATTAAAAATTGAAAAATATAGAAAAATATAAAACACCAAATACAGTTAAAACAATTAAAATGTTTTTTTAAAACAATTAAAATTAGTTTCTATGCAAAAACAAAAAATTGGGTCAACCGGGAAGAAGGCAGATTTTTCAGTGCACAAAACTAAAAGTTTACTTTTGGTCCCACTTGGCAAAAAGACACTGAAGGTGCAGAAACTGACTTCATTCACCATTTTGCTGTTTCAAATGTAAGCAAACATGGCTGCTATGGTAAAAAAATTAGGTTTAGCCGCACTTGAACAACTTTTAAATTGATAATTCTACAACTATCGCATGCAGATTAACTAAAGACATAAAAAATCTTAACCGGAAGATAAGAACAACATAATTCAATCAATTTTAAAGCAAAAAATGCACAATTTACCAACATATAAAAATAAAATAAATCTGATGTGTACACTACATGACTTCTCTGTACGGAATATTAAATTATATGCAAGTTTCCTGCATTTCATTTAAACATATTGAATTAACAGTTAAAGAATTTTGAATTAAACCTGTTTTGTCGATAGCGCATAAACCACAATAGAGTAAGTGCACTTTTTAAAGTTCACTGTATTTATTTGCCATAGCGACACTTCGGTGTTACGTCCACTTAACAGCATTAACATTCATTTGATAACTCAGAGTGCAGAAAAATTATATCATCTGAAGAACAAACACAAGTTCTATTCAAATACTATAATAAATCTAAAACGATGTATAAAAGAAATTGAACAAATAAAAAAATAAATAGTTAATTAAGTTCTCACTTTATGGCAAGGCAAAAATACATAAAAATTCAAGATATTTTCATTAAAATTTGAAAGATAGAGAAAAACATAAAACACCAAATACAGTTTAAAAAATAATTTTTACTATTAAAATTACAGTTTCTATGCCAAAACAAGCTAATAACTTAAATGTTAATTCCAGAATGAATTAAGCACAATTTAAATTGCAATAATAAAAGAAGACATTACTTTGTTGTTGTGAAGCTTAGTTTCTCTAAATTGGCAACAAATCCACTATTCAGCCAAGTTTCAAATGCAAACAAACATGGCTGCCATGGTAATCAAAAATTAGACTTAGTCGCACTTAAAAAACTTTTAAATTGTCGACAATTCCTTAATTATTGCAATGCAGGTTAACTAAAGGCATACAAATCTTAACCAGAACAATATAATTCAATTATTTTTAAAGCAAAATAGCACAATTTACAAACATATAAGAGTAAAGAAACTGAGATCACTGTGCCAGTTAACAGAGTGGATATATATATATATATATATATATACATATATTTATATACGTTTGGTGTGGCCGATTGCGACCAAAATACGAGGTGCATATCTATATGTTATAGCAGTCTTATGTAAAAAATTTCAAAGTTTAGAGGATACCCATTTTTTTGTTATGCGAGATACGTACAACGTATGTACAGACGCCACGAAAAAAAAATCTCTTCAGAATTCACTTTAAATCAGTTTTATAATTTTTTTGAAGGGAAAGAGTCCTTTATTCTGTCCTTATGTACATATGTCACGCAAAAACATTGTTAACTTGCATTTGATAGCAGTCAAAATGGATATTTTCGTTGAAATATGATACCCGAAATTTTTCACGATTACAATACTTCCTTTTTACTTCCTACAAGTAAGTAAAAATACTGAGCTCATGTAGCTGAGTAACAGAGTGGGTACACATATGTATATATAGTACATATGTCATTAATTTGGCAGTTAGGAACTTTTGAAGAATCACAAAAATCACTTGATATTCTAGATATATCTTTATTAGTTGTTGCAATTCTCAACAGTGACCATTCTGCACCCCAAAATTTTGATGATGGCGCATTACATTTTTAACAAAAGCAGACAAGCAAGAGATGTCCTTCATCAAGTAAGCATAGGCAGAGAAAGAGGAGGGTAGTAGGATTGCCATAATATTGATAGTAAAATATTTCATTAATCTGATTGGCTAAAACTTATAGGCAATGCAGTAAATTCAAGATGACATAATGTGGAATACGTTTTCAGATATGATGCAGTTTAGAGAAAGTTATAACTAGAGATAATGTAACCAAATTTAAAATGAACAATTAAGAAGCATTTAAATTATAATTTTGATTTGCATTTTCTTTTTATCTTATATATAATTCTGGTGCGATCTTTTTGGAATTAACCAAAAAGGGAGGTGCACAACTGCATGTTATAGCAGTCCTATATATACAAAATTTCATCATTCTGAGGCTACTCGTTTTTGAGTTATGCAAGATACATACATACGTACAGATGTCATGACAAAAATCGCTTCTGAATCCTTTTTAAATCCTTTTTGCAACCCATTTTGGAAAGAAGAATTTTTTATTCTGTCCTTACATACAGATGTCATGTAAAATCATTATTACATTGCATTCGATAGTAATCAAAATGGATATTTTCGTTGAAATGTGGCACTCGAAAATTTTCGCGATTACAATACTTCCTTTACTTTGTGCAAGGACATAAAAGTTTAAAAAAAAAAACTATTAGTTTAAGAAAAATATAAAACCAACTTCATAAATAAACATCTTAATTAAAAATTTATATGAAATATGCTTACCCATAGGCACTTATCCATGTCAATAATGTGATATATTCATTATCTTCTAATTTGTTTCCAATAAGATCATGTAACTAAAGTCAAAATAATAATATTTAAATAGACTACATAAAAAGCTAAAATAAAAATAGCAATTGCATAAAAATCATATAACTTGTAAAGAAAATACAAGCAATTCTGGCATTTAAAAAAAAGTTAAATTTTTTAGGATCCCAAAGTGTGACTTCTGTATCACAGAAGAAAACTGAAAGGCACAAAATTATTTTTTGCTGGAATGTCGATAATATAGATAACAGAAGTTTTGCACACATCGTTCATATAAAACTTTTTTGAAATAGCTACTCATGAGGTACAATTTTCTATCCAATTTTGAAGATTTAATAACATGAATCTTTATTTGCAGCTTCAGTGAGAACAAATGAGTTCATTTCTTGATTTTACATTACATTATCACAAAAGTTAATACAGTAAAAGTCCAGAAATCCGCAAAGCTTGGGACCAGATGTTGTGCGGATTTCAGGACAGAAAAGATAAAGCATAATATTCGGACTAAACGTGCAAAATAAATAAGGTGTATTAGATACATTTAATTAAATTATTATATACATTATTGCAATAATTTATTGTATGTATTAAATTATTATTACATATATATAAATTGATTATATTATTCATTGTATTATGTACAAGCATCAAGGTTTGCAGATTTCGCCTCATGCAAAGATTTCCGATTTCGGATTCCGGTGTTAGAATCCCCGTTGCGGCTGTAAAATTTCAGCAGCTTTTCCTTATTTTTCTGTATATCATACACAATCATGTCGCAATTAAATACCATTCTGCTATAAACCGAGGAGTAGCACCTACTTCCATCTTTTGCAGAATTTGCACTTTTTGCGTTACCGTCAATGCAACGTGTTTACATTTTTCAACGTTGCAAGAAGTAAAATAATGAGTGCGTTTCTTATCTGTCATTGTATTAAAAAGGGCTGAAATTTAAAATATTCTTAATTTATCCACAAAATATCCGGATTAAAAAAAAAGGCAGCACTAGACAATCTCGTGAAATAACAAAGCTCAGAAAACACCACAACGTGAACTTGAAGAGTTGAGTGAATCATCTGCTTTTTTACCTCGATGCAGATTAGAGGGAAAAAACTTTTATCTTATTTTTTTTAACTTTTTTATGTCAATTATTTGGTATTTCCATTATGACTCATTATTATTCGGTAATTATGACGTTATTATTCGGAAAGTATTTTTTCTTCGATATTTCGTACTCAATGTTGCGGTTTCCAGAACCTATAAACTAAATGTTTATATTTTGAGAGGCAACGCAGATTTCAGGAGTTGGCGGACTTCAAGGTGGCGGATTTTCGATATTTGACTGTATATCAACACTAGCATCTCTTGCACTCAGTCTGACTAATTGCACCAGGAACCAAATAGAGCCTTTTTGCTTTGGATAATGGCATAATTTGCAATATTGCCACTGGTTCAGGCAGAATTTTTGAAAGATTAAATGTATCTAAGGGTATTTTAAGTAGGAGAAAACATCATTCTCAATGAGTTTCAGAATATTATTTTTAAATGCTTCCAATATTTTGTATAACCCATGTATATACAAATAACAGTATAGCATAATGAATTATTCAAACCTATCATAGATACATGATTCTGCTCAATATTCAAATAACAGATACCCTTTCTTTCCAAAATAAATATATCTAGCAACAAGAAAATGCAATTCTCAAAGCACAATAAAAATTAATGTACTTAAAATCATTATTATCTTATAGAAATGAAAAATAAAAAACTAATTTTCATGCATACGTTTAAATTTTCGAAATGAGAAAAGTCTAATTACTTATTATAAAAAATCTGATATAAACACCACGACTTCCTTGCACGGCCTATTAAATTACACACATTTTTTTGCTACATTTCATTTTAATCTTATTTCCTCGAATTATTCTAAATTAACCGATCCCTCAAGGCAAGTTAAAAACAATATCAAAAACTGCAAATTTCAAAATTAAATATCGCAGTCAATTTTTAAAATTTTTTATATTGTCTAAAATTAATTTTTTTTAATTTCAAGTTTTCAAAACATGAATATTTTCATCATTTAAATTTTTTTTTGTTATTGCAAGCATATGCCTACAACCAACGATTGTAAAAATAAAGGCTGGGTATGGACTTTTGAGCCAGGTAAGGGCATGGGTATATAGATACAGTGTCTAACAAAAATGATTGGTCACTGTAAGTAATAGGAGAAAAGCTTTAAAATAAAATAATAAAGAATATTTCCCTTCGAATATGTATTTTCTTAGCTCTCTCTTTGTATTAAATAAATTAGAAAAAATTAAATAGTAAATTTAAAAGTAATGTTACCACTGAATGGGAAAAAAAGATACCACAAACATTTCATTCATATTTTCATTCATAATGACATTTTCATTCATAATTTCTATTTAAAATTGCCTGCAATAAATAAAAAACAAAATTTTATGGAATTAGTTTGGATAAAGAAACTAAGCAAAAATCCAAAAATCATTTGTTTTTATAATTTGAATTTTCTTTTTAGAATATATTTGTTATTTTAATGTTTTTTTTTTTTTTTTTTTTTTTTTTTTAAATGGCTTGGTCACTAAAGGAAACATCATTAGAAACCTGCAGTTTAGTTATTGATTTGTATCAAAAGAAAGAGAAATCTATTACAAAAATTGTCTATTTACTTGATTTAAGTAATTCTACAGTTTTTGATATTATTAAGTTTTATATGAAACTGAATCATATTCAAAACAGAAGAAGACCTGGAAGACCATCTAAGTTATCTGATGGAATGAAATGTTTTATTCTAAGGAAGACCAAGCTCTTCTAAATTTTTTGTGAAACTTCGTGAATTATATGGAATATGTGTAAATCCAAAAACTGTAAGAAATGTAATGTGCTCTGTGGGATATCATGGGAAAGTAGCAAAAAAATTTTACATCACTTAAAAAAAAAAAAAAAAAAAAAAAAAAAAAAAAAAACTTTGACTCACTTTTACAAAAATCAATGAAACAAAAAGACACCTGACTACTGGAGAAAAATGTTATTTGCTGATGAAAGCAAATTTAACATTTTGACTCGCTTTCACAAAAATTGATGAAACAAAGGCAGCTAACTACTTGAAAAACGGTCTTGTTAGCTGATGAAAGCAAATTTAACATTTTCGGCTCAGACAGACGAAAGCTGGTGTGGAGAAAACCCAAACAAGAATTTCAGAAGCTAAACTTAGCACAAAGTCCTAAACATGGCAGACAAGGAGTGATGGTATGGTAATCTCTAGGACACATTTCTGATGTTGATAATATAGAGTTTAAAGATGGTATTAAGGATCAGTTTATTTTGCTACTTGCCTCTTTGGCAAGTTTGTCGGCTGTTTCATTGCCTACCAGACCTGCATGTGCTCTGACCCATACTAGTTGCATGTGCTTATGGGCACTGCCTTGCAGAAGATGCTGTATGTTGACAATGAGTTAAGAGGCCAGAAGAATGAACATATTGTCTGAGTAAATAGTGATGAAAGGAGAAGGTGAAACCAGAGCGTATTCAATAGACGCAGTTATGGCTAATGCTTGTGCCTGGAAAACACTGTTTCAGGATTGTAGATAACCCTTCCAAGTATGATAACCCTTCCAAGATTGTATATAATCCTTCCAAGTGCGCCATCGAAAATTACGAAGGCGCTGCCTACTCCACCGGAGGTCTTGGAGCCATCTGTAAAGATGGTAAGGTCTGCTTCTTGTATATATTGATGGTGCCGATTGCTGTTGATCTCAACATGTGTGCCCAAGCCCTTACGCCCTGTGTGCGTGAGTGTGGGGTTGATAGAGCATTCATACTGTACTAGACTGAATGTTATGTTATAAAACCTGGCATGGATTCTTAGCTGAATGATCCTGGTGTAGGCAGCCTCCTGTTCTGCTCGAATATGAAGGGGAATTAGTCCTGCGAGGACAATGGCGGCGTTAGTGGCTGTTGTCCTGTATGCCTTGCACAGGTTAAGCGCAAACGGCCGTTGGATTGTGAGCAGTTGTTTTTGTAATCAACCCCACACAGAGACACACACAGGCAACACAGAGACAGAAAAAGACTGACTCAAGGACGCTTTTATTAGACTCAACGGCTTCATTCGTGCTTACAAAAACCCAACAATTTAATACGCATGCAGGCTGTGATTTAAAGTCGGCGTAGCAAGCCTAATGGTGAAAATAACGTAACGCTGTAGAATATTAGCAAGATAATCAACGCGGCCTTCAGCAGGCAGAACATGCTGTGATTCTACTCTCTAAAACCTTTTTTTAAGTACAATTTTTTATACCTCATTTGAATATCACGCGAGCTAAAAATTTACTTTCTGGCAGGAAAATGGAAATGAGGAAGCTAGGAAAGCGGTTTAACATAAAATAACAAGTTAGAAACTAAAACGATACCCTACATCTTTCCCTTTCAGAATTTAAGTATACGCCGCAGAGATCTTTAACGGCCTCGTTGAGAACTTAAATTCTAAATCATTCAGAACCAATGTCTTGCAATAACATAAAATTTAAGTTAAAACTCCTTCCAGATAACTGGAAGGAAAAAGACTTTAGCAGAAAATTTCAAAATATAGTACTTTACTTGAATTTACTTTATCTCTTTTTTATCATTCTTATTGAAATATTTCATTCAAATATATCTGAACTTTCATTCAACTCATGTATCCTACCAATAAAATCTTTTCCCCACTGCTCTCCAGTAAAAATGCACTGTAAACATCCAGGCAGTGTTTTTTGTATTAGTGGCACAACTCTGCCCGCTAACTTACAACCTACATATTAGAAATTCGGACTCACTAGACCTCAAGAGCAACTTATCTTGAAACCTGCACCTAATGTGCTAACAAGAGTGTACTTCAAACTTTAAATGCTAGTCTTGGCTGGAAAGCCTAACTTTAAACTCATGCATTCAGCTAGCTTTTTACTTTAACTTAAATTTCTCTTAAATTTGCTAGTTTGCATATCAACGTCTCATTCATATCAATTTAATTATTACTACAATCCAAGTCTTAATTTACTTTAACACATATATTTGAGAGTACTTTTAACATTTACAATAGGAAACATGAGACACAGTACATTGAATGAGATATTTACTGTACGTTAAATTAGAAAATTCAGCTCGGACTTTACATCAAGGCGCACATGTTGCTTAGAATTTCTTTTCACATCAGTCTTTCAGACTAAAATAGAGTTCTTGTTTCTAAACTAAATTTAGAATGAAATGCAATTTCAATTCCAAGCTTTTTCTTGCTTAAACAACTGAAATTACCTCAGTTGAGGCAAAATTCAAAAAAGAGCCTAGCAATTCGTGTACTTTTAGATATAAAATAAAACTGAATCTTAGTAAAAAGAAATTAAATTCCCACTTATTTTTATGTTTTCGGATTTCAATACAGAGCCGAACTGGTCATATAAGAAATTTTACTCAATCAATAATAAGAGTCATTTGATTATTTAAAATTTCCCAAGCAGTCAAAATGACTGCTTTTGGGCCATATAGGTAAACACATATATAACCGGAAATGAAAGAGAGGGGTAACTACATTTCAATAACGCATTTGTACGTTGTACAAAAAGTCACAAAATTCTGAAATTGGCATATATACATATTGTTTTCTGATGGAAATTAAAAGCAGTTAAATGACTCCTTGGGGAATCAGTGGTTATACTGTAAGGATCCTAAGTTTTACTAACGTTTATTTTATTTTTAAATCTTTACTATCACTTCTTATTTTCTACTTCCGGCCAGAATTATAAGCGTGAAGGATTTATGCAAAGTTTGTCTGGCGAACGCCAAGTATTTAAGTGTGGCCTTTTTGCCAAGCAAGAGAGAGGAAGGAGTGAGTTCGAAGCAGGCCGCTTACCTTAGAAGTTTTACGCAGTTGCTACTTTGCCTTCCAGGCCAGAGGTTTAATCCTCTTGATAATTTTAAACGTATTGTAGTGTTACAGTTCTCTGTACTACATACGGCTTCCTGTTAATATAAGGCCAATCTTGGAGTTAGGCACTTGTTTTATTAATTCCAAAGTTAGTTTAGTTAGAGTTTAGTTAATTTTTTATATTTTACGTTCAGACCACAAGTGGAGGTCTCTGTATTCCGAAGTACGGAAGTCATTGTAAAGAGAGAAAAATAAAGGGTTTTGTATACCCTTCCTGTGTGTATCCTGTCTACTTACCACAATTTAGTGAACATAGCTTTAGTAAGCTCCCTGTTCGAGTCAGGACAGTTAATGTTCCCTAAGCAAGTAAGGAGGAACACAGAACCTGATAATACAACTGTATTGAAACGTTTGCAAAAACTTTAGAGAAGAATTATTTAGAGAAGAAAAATATTAATTAATACTGAGAAACACAGCAAATTTTTGAAAGATTTAGCAAATAATAGAAAATTATTAATTAACACTAATAAACACAGAAAATATTAGTTAAAAGTTAGAATTTACTGAAACAGCTGAAACCGGTCATTAAAGTATTTTCTCTCATTTTCGGCTGCATTTTATATGATGCGACAGTAAACATATTAAAAAATAAATAATAAGATAGTTAAACTAATTACCTGTGCTTAAAATAATCTGTTGACCTTTTAACATCTTTTCCAGGTACTGCTCCATATCCACTTTTCGATTCACAACCATGTTTTATAAGACTTTCCTTTTCTCTTGCAACACCCATCGAAACATGTGTATTCTTCAACTAAAGTATCACAATTATTCTTTGCGCCACC